AACTTGGGACCTCACAGTTCTCCCAGTGTCTCTTCCACTGTTCAAAACACTGCAAAATTCTTTGTTGGGATGGCCATTAGCTGTCCCATCATATTTTCCTGAATCTTGTTGACAGTCTGAAATCTTTTCCTTTTTAAAGTAATTTTAATTTTGGGAACAGCCAGAAATTACAGAGCACCAAATTTGGGCAGTAGAGGGCCTTAGTCACCGACGTAATTTGACATTTCCCCAAAAAACTGCATGAGACATGATGCATGAGCAGGTACATTGTCGTGATGAAGCTGCTAGTCACCACTTGCCCATAGCTGTGCCCATTTTCATTGTATTGCATGTCCCAGCTGATGGAAAACATTGAGGTACTACTCCTTATTAATTGTTGGGTCTGGAAGGGATGTGGTCTTGATCTTGCTGTGACTTTGCCATGACTCCTTTGGGTGTAGAGAACCAGGTGACTTCCATTGGGACAACTGGGCCTTATTTCTAAATCATAGCCATAGACCCATGATTCATCTCTGAGTTAGGACCTTCTTGAAGAAATCTGTTAAAATGGTAGTGGTTTGATTTATTAATACTGGCCATTCTGACAGGTTTGAAGTGATATCTCATTGTGGTTTTAATTTGTATCTTTCTAATGGCTAGTGATATTGAGCATCTGTTCATATGTCATTTGTATGTCCTCCTTGGAAAAGTGTCTATTCAACTCCCATGCCCTCCTTTTAGTCAGACTGTTTAACATCCTGGTGTTGAGCTCTATGAGTTCCTCATATATATTGGAGATTAAACCCCTGTCCAATGTATCATTGGCAGATATGTTCTCCTTTACAGTTGGTTCCCTTCTCATACAGATAATGGTTTCTTTAGCCAGGCTGAAGCTTTTTAATTTGATGTAGTCACATTTGTTTATTTTTTTTCCTTTATTTCCCTTGCAAAGAAATGAAACTAGACCAACAACTTACACCATACAGCAGAATAAACTCAAAATGGATAAAATATTTAAATATAAGTTGTGACACCGTGAAAGTCTTAGAGGAAAACAGGTGGAAAATTTCAGATATACCACCTAAGAATATTTTTGCTGACATACCTCCTGGATGTGGATTCTTTAAAATAAATACTGGAGAAAGAGAAAATCAATACAGACAAATTACCAAAGACAGAGAATATTGTCAAAAGGATATCCATCAAGAAATAATAGGCCCAGATTTTGTAGTCTTTAAGGTAGTCTACAAATTTGATAAAGAACCAGAAATTACAATTCTACTTGAACTGTTCCAGGATAAAGAAAAAAGAGGGAAATTTCTGATGCCATTTTATATACTAAACATGACAGTGATGAAAAAAAAACTAAAGGGCAAAGAGATAAAAAATGTAAACCAATCTTATGAACAGGATAAAACTATATGTTAAATAAAACAAACTAACCAAAGCAAGTAGCATATTAAAAACCTAAATGGAACATGTTCATTAAATGTTAAAACTGTTCAATATCTGTGAAGCTATTGGTATAGCTTCACCATATTAAAAAAATCAAAAAATGAAAAATCACATGAGCACCTCGAGAAATGAAAAGATATTCAATAAAATTAAACACCCATTATAATAAAAATACTTAAAAATTCATGAATATTTTATTAGTTTCAAAAGTATATATTTATCTTAACCCTAAATTCTGAATAATGCACAATGGAGAAAATGCTAGAAAAATTATACTTTAAATATTAATAACAAAAATTTGCATTATTACTAGTATTATTTAGCACAAGTATGAGGCATCAGCCAACACAATTTTATAATTGGAAAAAGTAAGAGATGTTAAATTAGAAAAAGTGAATATGCCTGGCTGGTATGGCTCAGTGGATTGAGTGCCAGCCTGAAAACCAAAGGGTTGCCAGTTCGATTCCCAGTCAGGGCACATGCCTGGGTTGTAGGTCAGGAGCCCACAAGAGGCAACCACACATTGATATTTCTCTCCCTCTCTTTCTCCCTCCCTTCCCCTCTGTCTAAAATAAATACATAAAATCTTTAAAAAAATTTTTAAAGTTAAAAAACATTATAATATCCTTATCACATATACAGTATTTATTTATATTGTGTAGATGCACATGCATACATGTTAACCAAAATATTATAAAAAAAATAATTTCCCTAAGGTCTCTAAATATTGCCAAGGTATTCAATTAGAAAACATCAATGTGAAGTCTGTTGTTTACATATTGTTTTGTATATTCAAGGAAAGGACAAAAAGTTATAGTTGAAATATGGGAAAAGAATAAAAAAGAAAAATTGTCATATGATTTAAACATATTGCTTAATGTTACATAGAGTTTCATGTCATCTGATGGAGTCTTGGTTATACATTTTAAAATCTTAGTTTAAAAGAAGTAAACATTCATTTTCATAAATGATATTGGTTGATATATCACATTCTCCTGCCTTTTTAACACAGGAAATAAAAATACATTTGTTAACATTAATCTGGATTTGAATATGATTAAGTAATGCATTGAGAGTTTTGAGTAAAGTATAAATTTATATAAAATATATAACATAATCAGCTCCAATATCAAGAAAGTAATATCCATGCTATTTTGTATGCAATTGACTTCAACTGTATCAAATATTCCTGGGATTTGTTAAGAGTGAAGAAAATAATACCTTTATTGGAAAGGTCACTGAATGTGAATTCTTGCCTTTCTCATGTCAATGCTGAAAACTGTTAGCGATATTTAGAATGATTGTCAGCAACTGGCTAATATCTGTTATTAAGCTCAGAGATTATTTTATGCATATTGAAACATCAGAAAATATTCTTTTCTGCTACTTTAAATGAGAAGGCTTATAGAGAAAAATTAGAGGCACATTGGTGATGCTGGAATTGTGCCTTCCTTTCTAATATCTTTGAAAATTAAAATTTCACAACTCAGGCAGGAACTTTCTAGTGACTGAATATTCATGTATTGTTTTTACACCCATCAAACAAATGTGACAGTTTTCTGATTTCAGCCTTTGAGTAGTAATGGTAAAATGTGGAATAATGGTATAAAATTTAATCATACTGTTTCCTTACTCTTAGAACATAAAATTTGTAATTTTCTCATTATACCAGTTATTGTCACCATCAACAAATATATTTTAAGGTAGTTCTTTATTTTGAAAATAATTTTTACAAAACATATTTAATAAGAGGGGACATGAACTAGTAGTTTTTTTAAAAAATAATATGCATTTTTCCATTATAAGGCATTAAGTATCTGAATATATATGTTACCAGAATCTCAAATATGTTATCTTTATAATTTTTAGATACTTATATCTGTGTATGTGCAGATATACATATTGATATAGATATAGATATAGATGATACAGATATAGGTATAGATATAGGGCCTTTCCAGAAGGTACCCAACCATGTAATATGAAAAATAGAGTTATTTACTGAAGAAGATACAAGACACAAGAAACACGGTATGTAGGACAATGACGCCTCAGTCCTCTTCAAAGTAGGCACCTTGGGACCTCATGCAGTTCTCCCAGTCACCATCATTGCCCCATCATAGTTTCCTGAATCTCATCGACAATCTGAAATCTCTTCTTTTTCAAAGGTGATTTTAGTTTTGCAAAAAGCCAGAAGTCACAGGGTGCCAACTCTGGGCTGTAGGGGAGTGATTCACCTGGGTGATTTTATGTTTCACCAAAACACTCTGCACAAGACATAAAGCATGATCGGGCACATTGTTGTGATGAAGCTGCCAATCACCAGTTGTCCATAGCCATGGCCTTGTAAATCATCAAAATGGTTTCCACAGAAGAATGTTCAAACTTAATGCAAAATTTGATACAGATTCATTGCTCTACTTGCTTAGTCATTTTGAATGTGATGGCTGCACAGTACACATACTCATTCAACAGCATCTACCACCCCACTGAATATTAGGATGAAGTCATCATTGCTCACACATGTGCATTCCAGTCCACTCTCCTTGGCTGCCAGGTTGCATTGATGTCACGCAAACCATTCTTACTATGTTAACAATGGCTGGACTTTTTCTGGACAGGCCTCATATGTCTTATCACTGTGATACAAAGACAGCAAACAGAGCTATGATAGGTGTCCAGTGTTTGGTCTGGGTATACAGATTTAAAAGACAGGTATTTTTTATCAAAATCAAATCATAAAATTGTCATCGTTGCAATTTTTTAAAAAGTGCTTTCAATTTCCCTCCCTCATGATGTGTCCTGTTTTACCTTTGATAATCCACATTCCTGAATCATTTTTTTATTATGAAATCCACATGTGCTGATTAAACAATTTATGATTTTCAACCTTAACTTGGACTTTGGTATACCAATTTTTTAACTCTGTTCAACTCTTCTTTCTTATCTGCATAGTTATTTTAGAAAATTTACCATGTTCCTTGATACCCCATCCCCACTCCATTTATTTTCATCAGACAAGGGATCTTTAATTTTAAAAAATTAACCAGTACTTCCATTTTCAGTCTTCTCCTTAGTAGTCCTTAAAGTGTGATCAGTGGGTAATGGTGGGGTGGGGGTGAGGGGCAGTCACTGAGATGCTTTCAAAAGTCTACAAGGTCAAAATTATGTTTATAATAGTAAAAAGATAACCATTGCTGTTCACTGTGTCGCTATTTGCAGAGTTGGTGAAAAGGCAGTGGTGGGTGAAACTCATGGTAGCTCAGCTCAGATCAGGGCGGTGGCATCCGACAGTAATACTAATCATTTGACTCTTCACTGCCCTGCACTTGCAGAGAACAAAATGCAGTTTAACTTAAGACTGTAAAAGAATCTTGATCATATTAAATCTTAACCCTTAATTGTGCATTTTTTAAATTTATTTTTTATGTTTTAATACATTTTCCAATAAGTATTTGTTATTAGTTAAGCCATGATTCGATATCCTAGGGTAGGATGTACCCAGCTGCCCCTCCACCTCCCTAGGAGAAGGATGGAGGACAGAGGACATGTTGGGTGCAGCCAGTTCAGATCTTCAGAGGGAATATGCCTTCTGCCTGGCAGTCATCCCAGGCCAACTCCCAGGATATGCTGCCAAGGGACTTGTGCACATGCCTGTACCATTTGCACATGGGGATGGCACCCCCTTCAGCAGTCATTGCGTTCTCACAGTGGTGGAAGTCCAGGTGGTTTGGCCAACAGTTTCGGGTCTGGCTGTGGTTGAGGAAGTGGCTGTCAAAAAGGGCAGTCTGGTGGCTCTTGATTTTGGTCTTAACATCTTCTGCCATGTTGCAGACCCCTAAACACACCCCTGAAGCCACTTGCAGTTCATTGTGACCCTCAGCAAAGACCTGATTGTGTATTATTAAAATATCCCAAACGATAATGGCAAATATAATAAATAGAACTCTTCTGTTGTATACAATATACGCTATTTTGGTGGGGGGCAGGGGAGAAGAAGAACTTGTGTGTTTGGGTTGTGATTTGAATTAGACGCTTGTTTAATGAAACATCTTTTTTGAGAGAACAATTACTTAGCAAAGTTACTTAGACCTGAGCATTTGGCAGAAATTTTCACAAAAATAAAGTGGGAATTTCACTTCAGGGAAACTGACATTTGTTGCCAATGAAAAAAATGTGAGCTATGAAGTGAAAATTAGGAGTTTAGACAACTGGTATCCTTCACTACAGGATGATAGTTTGTTTCCCAATGCCTAAATGGATTTTGATAAGTTGGTAACAATGGTAGTACATATTTTTATATTGTATAATAAATCCATATCTTTTGAATATCCAAAACATGTTACATAATCATAGATGAGTAAAATGATCCATTTATAGTGTGTATAGTTTATGAATTTAATATGAAAAGAGTAAGAAAATTTCATTGATATTGTTTGAGATTCCAGACTACAGCCAACATTTAGAAAGCTAGCACTTGATAAGTTTTAATGTAGTATTTAAGAAGACCACTCACAAGTATCTGAAAAGACTACTAAAATACTCTCTTGTGTGAGACTCTTTTCCTTATATAATTTAATTACAATAACATTCTGGTATCATACCACAGAGACTACTATGTGGTAGATACTTTGTACCAATCTTGGAGTACAACATTCAATGAAATTGATAGGATAGTTGTTTCTTCTGAGCACACATAATTGTTCCTTGCTGTATCTCTGGAGCCTTGAACAAGTAGCTATCTGATGAACACTGATTTAACTTTATGAATAGTTTTGTTCTCTGACTTCACATTCTCAGAGAATTTTGCTGACTTCACTTGCACTGTTATTTACACTTCCCTTTCAGAAGTACGTATTCCTTAGGGTACTGCTTTTATTCTCTCTTTGCTTTCTGGGTACTTGTTCACTTAAATATATTCACCTGTAATCTATATGCTCTTAACTGTTAAAAATATGTTGTTAATTTTACCACAATTATAAACTTCAAACACTTCAAACATGACTTTCTAATTATCTGCTTTATTCATTGGCCTAGAAATATAAAAAACCAAAACCACCGTATTTCAAAACAATGTCAGTTCTCTACCTCTACTCCTTCTTTATGCTAAAGACATTTTTGTATTAGAAAGACCATCTGGGGAAATTAGCTAATTATATTACTGAATCATATTATGACTATTTTTTTTGCCTTAAAACTGTGTAACACAGTCTGACGTGAGTGTATATTACTTATTTCATTACTGTTCTACTTTAATGTAATGTTTGTTATTCTGTTGTATTCTCCAGTATTATTTATTTTTAATTTTTTATTAAATTTATTCGGTAGCTGGTTAATAAAGTTATATAGGTTTTAAGTGTACAATTCTATGATACATCATCTGTACATCGCACTTTGTGTTTACCACCTAAAGTCAAATCTCCTCCCATCATCATTTATTTGTCCCCTTCCCTTTTACTTTGTCCTCCTCCCTTTCCCTCTGGTAACCACCATACTGTCTGTGTCTATCAGTTTTTGTTTATTTGTTTGTCTTGTTTGTTCATTTGTTACTTTCAGCTTTATATCCCACAGTTTCATATCAAATGGTTCTTGACTTTTCCCACCTAACTTATTTTTCTCAGCATGATATTCTCAAGATCCACATTGTTATCAGAGCAGAATTAAATGACATAGAGACTAAAAGCACAATTCTAAGGATCAATGAATCCAAGAACTGGTTCTTTGAAAAGATAAACAAAATCGACAAGCCTTTAAGCAGACTCATCAAGAAAAAAAGAGAGAAGACCCAAATAAACACAATCAGAAATGAAAGAGGAGACATTACAACAGATACCACAGAAATACAAAGGATTGTAGGAAATTACTACAAAGAGCTGTATGCCAAGAAGTTTGAAAACCTAGGTGAAATGGACAACTTTCTAGAAAAATATAATCTTCCAAAAATCAATGAAAAAGAAGGAGAAAGCCTGAACAGACCAATAACAACAAAAGAAATTGAAGCAGTAATCAAAAAACTCCCAACACACAAAAGCCCAGGACCAGATGCTTTCACAGGAGAATTCTACAAAGCATTTAAGGAATAGCTAACCCCTATCCTTCACAGACTATTCCAAAAAATCCAAAAAGATGGGAGTCTCCCAAACTCTTTTTATGAGGCCAACATCATCCTAATTCCAAAACCAAATAAAGACACAACAAAGAAAGAAAACTTCAGGCCAATATCACTGATGAACATTGATGATAAATTCCTCAACAAAATACTGGCAAACCGCATCCAACAATACATTAAAAAGATCATACACCATGACCAAGTGGGATTCATTCCAGGGATGCAAGGATGGTTCAATATTCTCAAGTCAGTAAATGTAATACATCACGTAAACAAAAGCAAAGACAAAAACCACATGATCATATCAATTGATGCAGAAAAAAGCATTTGATAAGGTACAGCACCCATTCATGATAAAAACACTCAGCAAAGTGGGAATAGAGGGAGCATTCCTCAACATAATAAAGGCCATATATGAGAGACCTTCAGCCAACACCATACTCAATGGGCAAAAATTAAAATCTTTTCCACTAAGATCAGGAACAAGACAAGGCTGTCCACTTTCACCACTTCTATTCAATATAGTACTGGAAGTTTTAGCCACAGCAATCAGACAAGAAAAAAGAAATAAAAGGCATTCAAATCGGAAAGGAGGAAACAAAACTGTCACTGTTTGCAGATGACATGATAGTATACATAGAAAATCCTATAGACTCTACCAAAAAACTGCTTGACCTAATAAATGAATTTGGCAAAACATCAGGATACAAAGTCAATATCTAGAAATCAAAGGCATTTCTGTACACCAACAATGAAACAGCAGAAACAGAGATCAAGGAAAAAATCCCATTTGAAATAGCAGAAAGAAAAATGAAATATCTAGGAATAAACCTAACCAAAGAGGTAAAAGACCTGTATTCAGAAAACTACACAACACTGAAGAAAGAAATCAAGGAAGACACAAACAAATGGAAACATATGCCGTGTTCATGGATTGGAAGAATTAATATCATCAAAATGTCCATACTACCCAAAGCAATTTACACATTCAATGCAATACCTATTAAAGTACCAATGGCTTATTTCACAGACATAGAACAAACACTTCAAAAATTTATATGGAATTATAAACGACCCCAAATAGCTGCTGCAGTTTTGAGAAAGAAGAGTAAAGTAGGAGGGATCACAATACCCGACACTAAACTATACTACAAGGCCACTGTAATCAGAACAGCCTAGTACTAGCGTAAAAACAGGCACATAGACCAATGGAACAGAACAGAGAGCCCAGAAATAAGCCCAAGTCTCTATGGTCAATTAATATTTGATAAAGGAGGCAGCAACATTAAATGGAATAAAAATAGCCTCTTCAACAAATGGTGTTGGGAGAACTGGACAGCTACGTGCAAAAAAATGAAACTTGAGCACCAACTTAGACCACATACAAAAATAAACTCAAGGTGGATAAAAGACTTAAATATAAAATGTGACACCATTAAAGTCCTAGAGGAGAACGTAGGTAGGAAAATCTCAGATATTTCACAAAGAAACTTTTTTACTGACGTGTCCCCTACAGCAAGGGACATAAAGGAAAGAATAAACAAATGGGACCTCATCAAAATTAAAAGCTTCTGCACAGCTAAAGAAAACAGTACCAAAATTAAAAGAGAACCAACTGTATGGGAAAACATATTTGCCGATGATACCTCAGACAAGGGTTTAATCTCCAAAATACATAAAGAACTTACAAGACTGCACTCTAAGAAGACAAGGAATCCAATTAAAAAGTGGGCAAAGGACTTGAACAGGCACTTCTCCAAGGAGGACATACAGAAAATCCAAAGACACATGAAACGATGTTCAATATCGCTAGCTATCAGAGAGATGCAAATTAAAACCACAATGAGATACCACTTCACACCAGACAGAATGAACATCATAAACAAAGCAACAAACAACAAGTGTTGGAGAGGTTGTGGAGAAAAGGGGACCCTAGTGCACTGCAGACTGGGACTGCAGACTGGTACAACCACTATGGAAAGCAGTATGGAACATCCTCAGAAAACTAAAAATGGATCTGCCTTTTGACCCAGCAATTCCACTGCTGGGTCTATCCTAAGAATACTAAAACACCAATTCAAAAGAACCTGTGCATCCCAATGTTCATAGCAGCACAATTTACAATAGCTAGATGCTGGAAGCAACCAAGATGCCCATCAGTAAATGAATGGATCAAAAAACTATGGTACATTTACCCAATGGAATTCTATGCCACAGAAAGAAAGGAGCTCCTACCCTTTGCAACAGCGTGGATGGAGCTGGAAAACATTATGCTTAGCAAAACAAGCCAGTCAGTAAAAGACAAATACCATATGATCTCACCTTTAACAGGAACCTAAATAACAAAACAAAGAAATAAGCAAAATATAACCAAAGACACTGAAATAGAGGACAGGCTGATGGTGACCGGAGGGGAGAGAAGAAGGAATTTAAGGGTACAGTGGGAAGGGTTCACAGGAACAAATTTAAAGGACACATGGTCATAAAGTAAGGGGAGGGTGGTAATGGGAGGGAAGTGGGGAGGGTGGGAGGGGGGACTGGATTGGGAGTAAAAAGGAGAAAACTGTATTTGAACAATGATTAAAATTAAAAAAAAAATCCACATTGTTGCAAATGCCAGTATTTTGTCTTTTCTCATGGCTGAGTAGTACTCCATTGTGTACATGTACCACAACTTCTTTACCTAGTTATCTACTGAAGGGCACTTGGGTTGTTTCC